TAAATCAGTTGACTATTTATGTCACTACTACTATAATTCATTTCAACCTATTTGCTATAAATACTGTTATTAAACAATTTAATAAATATCAATACTACTACTATGAGAATATAAAGTATATTATTAAATATTGTTGATTTAAAAATTTGAATCTCATAAATATTAAATAGTAGAAATATAATAAAAAATATATTAAGATATTAAAAAATAGAGATAAGAATAAGACTAAAAATAAAAATAAAAGCAAAGATAGAAATACAGAGAATTTATATATAAGTTAATTAATTTAAGTATTTTTTATAATAATTTTTTCAAATATTAAAAATTTTTTGAAAAGCTAATCAAATTATAAATAAAATAAAAAAAGGATTTAACAGATACAGTAAGTGAAAGACAAGATAGATTAACAGAGAAGATGAATATGATTGATTTGAGTAGAACAGTAGCTAGTCTAAGAGGAGGTATTAAAGTCTAAACTTTTATTATAAACTAGCATACCGCATAGTAATATATAGCATCTTTGAAATAGCTATTAATACAACTATTTCAGACGTTTAATATTAATAAACTTTATAAATGACTCAATAATGAAAAGAGGCTATGATTAATATTGATAATTATCTATTAACTAAGTAATAAGCTAATATCTATTTTCATTATAAAAAAGGCAGATATTAAAGAGCTAATGAGACTATTCTTGAAATACTACTATAGATATTATAAAGTATTAAATTCAATTATATCAGATTATAAATTATAATTTATTTTAAAGTTTAAAAATAAATTCATCAAAAGATTAAGAGTTAAATTAAAGCTTTCATAAGCTTATCACACATAAACAGATAGTCAGACTGAGATTATCAATTAATATTTAGTGATTAAGCTCTGTTCATATGTGAACTACTATCATAATAACTAAAATGAGTAATTATCAATGATAAATCATACAGCTGAAGCTATAAAAATTGAATCAACTGAAATAATATTTTTTTTAACTGCTTATAGATATAAATCTTGAATGTTCTTTGATTAAAAGTTACTGTTAAAGATATTATCTAGAGGAGAGAAGTTTAAATAAGAAGAGATCAGATAATATATCATTTAAATGAAGAAAATCTGAAAGCTAGCAGCAGACAATATGAAAAAAATACAAGAAATTATAAAATTATAGATCAACAAGTACTGTTAGAAGTTAAACTTTAAAGTAGAAAATAAGATTTTCTTATCACTTAAGAATTATAGAATTCAATATCTCAGTAAAAAGCTCATAGAGCAAAATAAATTTTTTTTTTAAATCATTGAAAAGATTGATAATAGCTATAAACTAAATTTATCAAATAGCATGAAGATTTACTTAATACTCTCTTCTGACAAGCTACAAAAAATCATAAATGATCACTTATTAGATTAATTAAATAAGATATCAGAATTAATTAAGATGTAAAATAAAAATAAATAAGAGATTAAGAATATTTTATAAGCTATATCTCTTGTAAAGAACTTTAATACTGAGTAAAATAATTAAAATTTGATAATAATTTAATATAATATTCAGTCTTAAATATAAAAGAATCATTGTATCTAATTTAAAAATTTTATATTATAAATTTAATAAAAGTAGAATCTCTGAAATAATTAAGTAAATAACTAAAAACTTAAAATAAAAATAACTATCTAGTAAATAAAGTAAATGATAATTATTAGCATGAGAATATATTTAAATTTCAATAAAGAAGTAATATAATAATATAGAATAAGCTCTGTCTAACCTTCTCAACAGCATAATATCATAGGTTGAGGTGATCAATAATCACAATTACTTAGAAATTGATATAATAATTAATTTTATAATTATTTCACATATAAATAATCTAAAAATATAGGAATTACTTAGGAATAGTATTAAAAATAGAGGTAATAATATTAAGAAAAAAAGTTATATAAATAGAGTCTTCTTTAAACTTATTTTTAAGAAGTTATTTTAGTATTTTATTTATATAATTTATCTAGTTGATAATCAAACAACTGTTTCATCTATATCTAAATTAAAGTCTTGATACTATACTTGATATAATGAAGTTGATAAATACAAACTCATATATTATTAATAAATTATATATTATAATCAAATATAATAAATTAAAAAAGTTTATAACTATATTAAAATGAGATATAAAGAAAGATATTAGCTATAGATTCTACTTTCAACTTTATAAAAAATTTCAAAAGTATGTCTTTACTTATATAGTTTACAATAATTGTAATATTTTTACAGTCACTACTTTTTAAAAGAGTTACTGCAAAATCAATAATTATATCTATTTATATATAATTAAAAATAGATAGTAACTTTAGAAGATTTTAATATTTAATTTTTTACTGTATAGTAATATTATAATAATTATAATTTCTGATAAATTAATAAGTATTTTTTAATATATCTGATTAGAAGAAGTTATATAAAAGAATATAATATAAAAGTTTATAGTCAGAGTATTTTATCATCACAAAGTTATAAATTTTTTGAACTTTTTATATATATAATATTTTAAAATTTAATCTTTATTTTTTTTAATAAAATTATAAAATATTATTATTATTAAAAGAATATTTTATAATATTAATATATAAAGTTAATTTTTTTTGAGAAATAAAGCTGATATTTAAGTAATATATATAAGAAGTTAATAGATTTTATTATTAATAATAGTTTAATGAAAATATTCTTTAAGAAAAAGGCTATTATCATATTCTAAGACTATAGATGTGATTGATATAAAAATAATTATATTATAAATAATAAAATATAAAATATTAATATAAATAATATTATTATTAATATTATAATATATTAATATAATAAGATTTAAAGATATTATTTATAATTCTACTATTTATTATTATATTTAGAGAATAGTATATCTTACTTTAATAAAAAAAATATTAATCATTAAATTCTTTAAATTTATGTGATAGTAAATTATAAAATAAAAGTGATTAAAAAGATTATCTTAGT